TGAACACTTAATTAACAAAAGAATAAGAAAAGGTAAAAAAATAATCTTAAATAAAGGATTAAAAATAAATTTTTTTAATTAAATAATAAAAAAAAGTACTCTGCACAACAATTAAAAGACCAAAACAAAGTTTTAATTTTTTTTTTTTGGCAAACCTAAAATCAATCTGCCACCACAAAGTTCACCAACAAATGTTTCATTTTTCATCTTTCTGACCTTCTTTTATCTTCCTTGTGTAATGTATTTTCCCACTTCCTTCAATGGTTCACGTGACTCCGACTGTACTTACCATTTATTCATATATAAATAAAATATAAATAAATATTAAATTTGTTATAAAAAAATAATAAATTTAAAAATTTATTTATTTTAATAAAAAATTAAAATTTTAAAATAAATTTAAAAATTTAACATAAAATTTTTCTTAATTTTTATACACTAACCTTGACTAATGGCCTTCTGCTTGATTTAGACTAAAAAATACGTCGATGTGGCCAATTCCATTTGATGAGACTATCCTCGCCGTTGATTTGGATTTCGGGGTCTTAGTCATTACTACGTGGATTAGTGGTTCCCGGAAGACATCTATTCTTGGTCACATCACTGCTATTTTTTACGCAATGAAACTATGACAAATAGCTTTTTGCTTGACTTGACTAAAAATTGAAAAAATGTGACCATGTGTACGATTGCATTTGACGAGCCTATCCTTACCGTTGATATTAAAGTTTTAGTCTTAATCTTTACCATGTGGACCGGTGGGTCTTGGCGATTAAACATTTTGTGCTTTCCTCTTTATTTAAGATTAGACTGTGACAAATTACCTCACGACAACGTAAAATCTTAATCAAGCCCCTTTTCTTAGGGATGGAAATTCATTTCATTGGGCCGCGAGATATTTGCTGCTGGTTTCTTCGTCTTTTTGCCTCGTTGATTGAGGGCCTTTAATTCAATCAACTTTAACCCCACCAAAATACCAAGTGGGGCAATGTGCATGTGATTCATGTTGGGAGACGTAGAAGGTAGCTATCTACACTTAAAAGGCATTTGTTTTATTTTGTCAAAAAAAAAAAATGTTTTAAAGGGTAATTCTTTTAAAAAATAAAATTTTATTAGAGAAATTTAAAAATTAAGTTAAAAAAGTAAATATTAATTTGTATTAAGAAAAATTAAGTAAAAAAAATTAAAATAATATTATTTTAATAAATTGTTATTAAAAAATAAAAATATCATAATTTTTAAATAAAAATAAAATTATTTTAATTTTTCTTTATGATATTTTATAAAAATGATATAATTTTGATATATTTTTATTTAATTCTTCATAATATAAATTAATACTCACTAGTGTCTTTAATATAAATTTTAAGTTTTAAAAATATATAAATAAATAATTTTTTAAAATTGACTAAAAATCTATTTGAAAATTATTTTCAAAATTTTCTTTAATAAAATTTTAAATTTATAAAAAAGTTCTTATTTTTTCAAAACAAGTAATTTTTAAGCTCCAAGCACCCAAGGAAAAAACTTTGCCCGGACGTTTAGTGAGATAAGGTTAATCTCAAATCGCGTGTTTAAAACCTAGCTCATACGAAAATTGAATCTAACCAAATCGATTCAATTTGATTAAAAGAATTTGAAAAAACAGATAAAATTTTATCTATATTATTATAATATAAAAATATAATACTTCCATTATTTGTTTGGATTTTATTGATATACAAATTTGTATCCTTTATATTTTTTTGGGTTTAATAGATAACATATCCTTAGATTAATTTACACGCATTTGATGACTAATTTCTCTTTATTTTATTTAAGAACAAATAATTTAGGTTAGATTAAAAATTGGTTAAACCCATATTTTGGTTCTCAACTATTGTACAGACCCCAATTTAGTTCTTCAATTCAAAAAATCCCTAATTTGATCCTTACTATTTATCATTTAACCCCGATTTGGTCCCTCCGTTAAAAATCCGCTTACATGTCCTGTTAACTAACAGAAGCACAATGACATGTCAACATATTAAATACACATGGGAAGATAGCATGGCAAAAAAAATACTTAAAAAATTCTCTTCTTTCCTCTTTCTCTTTCTTCTTCCTTGCTTTCTACAAACCCTAAAGAAGAAACCAGCAATTGCCCCCCAATGAAACCTGCAATTTCATCTTTTCATTTTTTTTCTCTCTCTATCCCTCAGCCAACACCAGATCTAGACATTTTCCCTTCCAATTTCTCTCTTTTGTTGGGTTTGAAAGCTGGGTTTAAAGGAACCCAACACAACTAGGTTCTTTCGAACCCAGTAGCTGTTGGGTCGATTGAACCCAACAAGTGTGCTGGGTTCGAATTGCTTCTTCTTCCTCTTCCTTTACTTTCACCTCCTGCAAACCCAAACACTTTCTAACTTCAAATCCAAGTATAACACAAACATAAACCCATAATCTCTCTAAATTAGTCACTGCCCTCTCAACCTTCCAAAAAACCCAAAAAAATCAAGGTATCTTCAATCAAACCCAACAACAGTTCTTCAATCGAATCTAACATTCTTCAATCAAACCCAACATTCTTCAATCAAACCCATAAGGGGTTCTTCAATCAAACCCAACAATGCCTGTTGGGTTCGATCGATGAACCCAGCATGAATCCAATGGCATCTACTGGGTTCAACGATCGAACCCAAGAGTGCCTGCTGTGTTTATCGATTGAACCCAGTGACACCGTTGGGCTCATCGATCGAACCCAGTGACGTCGTTGGGTTCATTAATCAAACCCAGGAGCGCTTGTTGGGTTGATCAATCGGACCCAACAGGCGCTCCTGTGTTCGATCGATGAACCCAGCAAGCACCGTTGGGTTCCTGTTAGGTCCATTGATCGAAACCAATAGCCATCAATCTAACCCAGTAGCCAACAAACAAGGATATGAGGGAAGAAGATGATGCTAAAGATCAAAATGAAGGGTAACGAAAGAAAAATGGAAAGAAATTGATGTGTGGTTGAAGATGAGGGTAAAAAAGTAATTTTAGTTTTATAATTAATTTTAGATATTCTAATTTTTACTGAAAATTACGTGTCAAGTTTTATATGCCATGCTGTCAATCCTACATGTTAATATTTTTACATGTCATCATTTTTTGTCAACTAACGAGACCCGTAAGCGGATTTTTAACGAAGGGACTAAATCGATGTTAAAATGATAACCAGTATGGACAAAATCATAAATTTTTTGAGTTAAGGGACTAAATCAAGGGTCCATACAATAGTTGATGGACCAAAATTGGGGTTTAACCTTAAAAATTTTATAAAAAAATTATTATTTATTATTTATAATTTTAAAAAAAATTAAATCTTAATCGGCAAAATAAAAAATAAATCCTTTTGATGACGGAACTACAAATGCTTTGGTTCTTGTGAATTCATCGAGCAGAATGCGTTTATATGTTTGGACTTTATTTATTGGTAAATTTGAACCATATTTACCCCGATCTTGATTTGGTTTTAGTTTGTTTAACTTTATATTTTTATGT